TCCCTATCAGGGGTCCCTCCTAAAATTCCTGGATTTTTTGGACCCTCCATGAGTTATAGTCTAAACTCCTAGTATTCCCCTTGATAACCCTTCTAGTAGTCCCCAGTACAATCCCTTTTATAACCCCCTTTAAGGAGTTTAGACTAAAACTCACATGAGATTCTTCGGCCCTTTGAAGCTATGCAGGCGCGCGAAACCGTCAACACCAACCGGCTTGAAGTTCACAGCCCCTAAGGGTCTAACGGAGTGTTAAGGCCCAAATACTATAATTTGAATGGTATTTTGTGACCTACCCTAAACCCTATACCCTAAAGCCCTAAAGCCCTAATAGTTGAGTCCTTGGAGCCCTCATGGAGTGCTTGCTGTCAAGTCGGTCCTCAAGGAGTTGAATGCTCGGTTTCTCTCCTCATTGACGAGCCTACCCTGCTTTCAAACCTGGGTTCAGGGGTTTTGTGGTTTGAGGGTTTAGGGTTTAAGGTTCTTTCAAACCTGGGTTCAGGTTTGCCCTTTTCTCAAGAACTAGGCAAATGTCCAGAATGTTTATACAAAGGCCGAAGGTAGAATCCTTCTTCATGTTGCTGTACGTTAAACGGCATGTGTAGGGAGTTCTCGAGCCACCAAAGGTGATGCCCAAAGAGCCCAAGCCGGGAAACCAAGGGAACCCCGACCGAGACACCCTAACTAAACGAAATTGCGATCTTGCTTGCTGGGGCTTGGTAGGAAATAAGGGATAGATGCTATATAGAGCTTACACTATAGGGGCAAAATTTCCACATTCCCCACTAACCCTCAGACCTAAGCCTTACAGATATGAGCCATAATCTAAACTCCTAGTATCCCCCTTAATAACCCCTAGAGTACTCCTATATATGATCCCCTATATAACCCCCTTTAAGGAGTTTAGGCTATGGTTCGTATTTCCTTCTTCCCTACTAACCACCAATAATAAGAGAGGCCAAATAGTGGAGCTTAAGCCGGCCAATGCCACTACTGCGGCCTGCGTCCCATCCCAGTGCAATCTGCTACCATTAAGGGTTTAGGGTATAGGGGTTAAACATCCTACCAATAGGAGGAAGGTTTAGGTACAAGAACATTCGCACTCTTTGGGCCCACGCAGTTCACCTTTGGATCCGACCAGGTTTAACATTCAAACTCGAGGCGTGCACGACCGCCACACGCATCCTGAAACCTAAAGGCTTAAGCTCCTAAACCCTTACCCTCCAGTTCTCTTGGGGGACATGCAGCCTGCTTGAAATAGGGCTCTGCAAACCGTATACCCCCAGCCAGAACAATGTATTGTTAGCACCCTTGAGCTTGTAAGAGAGAGTCAAGGAAAGTAGTCATGTGAATAATTGACACCCTACACCCTAAAGCACCCAATGTCACAGGAGGATTTCGAAAGACCCCTACGAATTCCGATGTATTTTGATCGAAAGAGTTTTCAGGTGGGTAGTTTCCCCGTAAATTGTGCTTCCCCCTACATACCCGTTCTACAGAGATCTGTATTTGGTATATATGTTCAGATATTCAGTTCTCCACATATATGAGCCACAGTCTAAGCTCCTAGTATCCCCCTTAATAACCCTTTTAGTAATTGTTCTATATCATCCCTTCTATAACCCTTTGAGGCGTTTAGACTATAGTACCTAAAAAACCCTAAACCCTAAACCCTAAAAACCCTAAACCCTAGATATAAGCCTCACGTACGCCTTATGCACGGGCACCCAGCTGGCGCGTCCCCAAGCTTAAGTTTGAGCCCAAGGGATTCCCAGCAGGAAAAAAATCAAACAATTATAGGGTTTAGGGTTTTGGGTTTAAAGGGTTTAGAGTTTAGCGCTTAGGGTTTTCTAGATTGGTATACGTGCAGGTATACGTGCAGTTCCCTAAATCAGAGTCCCATCAGGGTACTCCTAAGTAGTAGGTGCCGTAAGATAATCTATAACCAAAGGGGCCCATAATTTTGAGAACAACCCATATTACAAGCCTCTAGTGTCCTTTACTAGAAAATACAACGACTCTATGATAGCGCGCAGCTATAATGGGATTAGTGAGAGACATGTCTCTAAGTCCTCAACGCACTGAAGCATCCATGGATTGTGCCCACCAAATGCATGGCAATGCTCCACCGTTGTAATCCCTCCCCGAAATAGTACACGACATCCCCCTCCACCCCTCCCGTAATAAAAATCTGCCCGCGGGGTCTCTTATTCGGGAGGACTTTCCTTGTCAAGGCAAAACGAAAGGCCGTTTAATAAATATCAGAAATACAGAATACAGAATTCAAATTTGAGTTGCCGTTCGATTCTTTTGTTACACAACACTTTCTAAAACAAACCTTCTATAAAGCGTATTGGAGGCAGCATTATTCCTTTGGAACCGTGTTGATGCAACTTCTTTTGAGCAAAGCGTTGAACAACAGAAATGGCAAACGTAAAGCACATCCGTATGCCAAGATTTCCTTCACAACCGCCTTGCGAATAAAAGACAATAAAGCACTAGAAAATAAAGGAGCTCCATCATTTTGATTGGATGTTTGTCAGGTTGTTTGTAGACACATCTCTTTATGAAAAAACCACCGCGAAAGAATGGAAACACATAACAAATAATGGAAAACCATCCCAATCCCCCTTTGATTTGTCGTTACATTCTCCCACCCCACCCCCCCGATAAAAATGGCTTTAGAAGCTGCCTTTGATTCAACAATATTATCTACATAGATAGCATATGGGGTATATGGAGATCTGGGGATCTTATTTTAATGTACCCAAAGCCATATTCTATCTACTACAGGGGCACTATACTCAGCGAACCGTTTTGTAGTCTTCCAGACCTTCCAGCTATCAGGGGCAAGGAATTAAAAAGCCTCCTTACTCTGCTGTTCACCCTAAACCCAAATACTTCGGGCCCTTGACCACCCCAAGGGCTGTAAATCGGATCATTCTCCTATTGTCCTCCAGGAACGTATAGCTTAGTGGCTGAAACCTGAACGGTAGATGCCAAACAGGGTTTAGGGTTTAAGGTTGAGGGCCAAATCCCTTCACTTGAGCCCCGACCCTTGTATAAAGCCAAATCCTAGAGCCTTTGAGCCTTGTCGAAGTTTTTTGCGCTGAGCCCGCAAGATCCTAAAGACCTAAACCCTCTAACTTGAAGTTGGCAGACTCCTAAACCTGATTTCGTGACGATTGGTAATCTCAACTACGGCCGATCTCTACATCATTCCCTTCTGCTGGCCTAGGTAGATGTCTTACTATCCACTTGTGGTATCTACAAGCATATTCATAAGAAATTACAAGCTCCGGATCCTCTCCATACTATGTAAACTGCTTACCCTAGACCATCATCAACATCTTGAACGAAGTAAGGTGATATTGTGCTTATAACATGGTTAAAATAATTGGATACTCGAAAGGAGCATATAACCTTAATCTATGTTTTGGGGGCTATAGTACCCCCAAGTGAAATACTACTCGTCTATAGATAGTTGCTCAATGATTCCCATAAATTGCCCGCTAACCCCTCCTATGATCTACATACAAGGACCCGAAAGCCAAAACCTCACACACCCTTTCCACCAAAACTTTAGTTTAGGGTTTAGGGGTTTAGGGAATGATTTAGGGTTTAGGATTCTTTCCGACCCTAAATCCTAAATTCTGATCTCAAGAACCTAACCTCCTGAGCCCCAATCGTAAAACCTACACCCTGAAGACTAAAGCTCGGGCACTGGCGTCAAAGCCCCAAGCCCTGAACTCAAAACTCCTAACTCTGCTAGCCCCCAAACTCTGCAGTTTCTGCCGCTCGAATGATAGGGTTTTCGCCCAAAATATGATAATGCGCAAGGTTTGCAGAACCTGTAACCCTACTTGGAGGCCCATGAGACTTAGTAACTACTTATAACTGGGAATATAACCCTACTTCTAATTCGGGTAACCTCAATAAGCCCATTTAGAGAGACTATAAATAGGGCTATAAGCCCAGTTATAAGTAGTTACTAAATCCCATGGGCCTCGAAGTACTTTTTGGGCACTTGGGCCCTGATGGTTCTACACATAGTCACATGGGACAAGTCCCACCCTGAAGGCACCTTTAACCCTACTACTTGGCTACTTGGACCCTTAGAACCCTAAACCTTCAACTCTCTCCCCCAATAACCAGGGCTAAAAAAAAAATACACTTTATTATTGAGATCCAAAAGGAAGCCCAATAAGGCTAAAGTTCTTCTATTGGCTAAGTAAGGGACCCTTAGAACCCTAAACCTTAAACCGTAGGACAAGATCCACCCTGATGCCTCGCGTAGATCTTTCGGGAGCCTTTCCGCCGCTAGCTCCGCGCCGAAAAGCACCTCTGGGGGCTTCTGGGGCTTAAAGTGAAGATTAGGATTTCGTGGATAAAGGGTTTAGGGTTTGTCAAGTTTAGGGTTTGAGGGTGTTTAGGGGATTTGGGGATTAAGGTTTGGGAAGCGCAGGGTTTTAGGACTCAGCGTTGAAAGCTTAGGAACCCAGGGCTTACTGGGGAGTGAAGGTGCAAGGCTGGATACCTATAGTCATCCCCACAAACTTACTTAGCCAGTAGAAGAACTTTAAACCTTTTTGGGCTTCCTTTTAGGTCTCAATAATAGAGTTTAAACTTTTTTAGCCCTGGTTATTGGGGGAGAGAGCAAAAATGCCATGCCTATCATATCCCCCATAGCGCTCTTTCAATTCTCTACCGGCAAGAGGTGAATTTGGGGTCTATGTGGTTCAGTGATATGAGCCGTAGTCTAAACTCCTAGTATCCCCCTTAATAACCCCTATAGTAGTCCTCCAAATAATCCCCTATATAATCCCCTTTTAAGGAGTTTTAGACTATGGCCCATATAGAGATGTGGGTATAGAAACACCTGCTGGGATGGAGGCGGTTCCGGATTCGTCTGGGTTAGGGCTTAGGGTTTAGAGTTTAGGGTACAACAAGCAGTAGGCGTTGTGTACTGCGCCCACCCTGTAACAATCTTTTATTAGGGGCCATAGGGGGCTATCTATAACTATAGACTGTCAATATTATCCAACTTTTACAGAATGGGGGCAGCGCCTACAGTAGGCAGCTCAGTTAGGTCTTGCTAGGGCTTGTTGGAACACATACGGATATAGTTTGGTACCAGGCAGCTGATGAATACCATGTGAATTGGGAAGGGCCTCGGGGATATGTTCAGGGTTTATGGTTTATCCTCAACACATACAACTGTAGATATGGGCAGTTCGTGAGACGGTATTGGCTTTACCAAAGAGACTCAAAACTTCAGCAACCTTCCGTTTTCGGTCGTAACATTATTGAAGATTTCCCACGTAGCTCTCAAGTTCACAGACTCCTGCATGTCAAGTATGTTAAGAGTCTCGTAGCTCAAAATGAAAGTCATGCAGGCGCCAAAGCAATGAATAAGAGTGCGTTTTGGGGCAGAATTATGAACTGCGATCACCAAGATCGTAGAGGTACAACATTGCAAATGGTTCAGGCACCTACGCTTCCACGGAAGTATTCTGAAGGGGTAATGTCACCCAGACTGCCCTGGAGCCCGTCAAAGGGCTCCTGCAAAACTACTGCCCTCTGAAACAGGACCTGTGGGGGTTTCAGGTTAGCATAGAAGCGAGTATTTTGGAAAGAACTTGGAGGTTCATAGGTAATTCAGGTATGCTTAAGTAGGATAATTACAACTACAGCCTCATTTGGAGGGGACTTACAGTCCTACTTATAACTACCCTGGGCCCCAAGTAAGTATTTTCAGAGACTCAGCGCAGCACTGAGTGTGCCCAGCCCGCAAAGGGCGCGCCTCCGTCAAATGAATGGTACATAACTGGGTGCAAGGAGTGTCCCTCACTGATTATTAGGAGTCCCTTGCTCTTGGTGTTGTGGGGATTTAGGGTTTAGGGTGAGTCGTCAGGGGTCTGCGCATCAAAGTGCGAATGTCCTGGTTCCCAAACTGCCCGCTCTAAGCAGAAATGCTGCCAAAGAACGGGAACTTCAGATAGACTCTTCGCAAGTACAACACCCCAAGCATCAACCTTGAATACCTACACTCCGAAGCCCTGAACCCCAAGCCCGAATCCCCTGACCCTAGAGCCCTAGACCCCATCCCTGGCTTAGGGCCAGCAGTAAACGTCGAAAATAACTGGAACGTGGAAACTGACTGATTGTGCTACATCTCTCTATGTCTAGCTCTGGCGTTAAGGGTACACTGAGGTTCTAGATGTCTGGCTTCTATTTGGAGGGCGTGTTACTTGTACTTCCATATGATATCTGCAACCATGGGTTGTTTGGCTCGGGAACGACAAGCTGGCTTACATTTAGTACCAAGTCACAAGTATCGCGGCCTTCCAAATACCGTACGACTGTATCAGCCCACCCTACACCCTCAACCCCAAACCCCTCTACCCTGGGCACCTCTATCTGGCCTTATCTTCTCGATTTAAAAGCGCGTACCTCACGAAGTCTTACAGAATCACCGTACTCTTCTCACTCTACCTGGGTATTACACGAAGGCGTCTCGAAATCCCATTTCTAGTAGCCGCCCCCAACTTCGCTCTGTGAAGAAAACACCCAAGCAAGCTGCATGTTGGACAGGGATAAAGCATGTAAATCTCATGCGCCATGGTGATTCTTCGTCCTGATCCGGGAAACGTGGAAAGCACGTGGGTCATAGCTACCGCTAGAAGTTAACAGGAGACTGTATCGGAGACTCTACCCAGAGGGTCCAAGTACCCAATAATTAGGTACTTGGGGTTTGGGTAATAATAATTATGGTACAGGTTTTGGGTAAGTATATGATTATTAGGTACTTGGACCCTTAGGGATAGGACATTTCGTATCTCTCACAGACAACCCCGTAATGTCATGAACTGGCTTGGGATGGCATGTCCACACCCCAAACCCCAACCTAAAACCTAAACCCCAACCGCAACCGAACCTAGCCCCTCAATCTATAACCAGACTCATAGGTACTCATGCAGCCCTGCAGCCAATCTGGTAGACTGTGGGAAGAGCTGCTTGCAACTGGGCAGCCGAAGCGACGACGGAAGGCATCACCAACCTACCCAGCGTGCTGGCTGTTAGTGCGGCAAGCAGAAGGGTAACACGGCTTGGGGTTTAGGTTTTGATTGTTTGAGATCATATAGGGGCCACTATACGGATCCGTTCCTCCATTTCTTACTAACAGGCAGAGGGGCCAAGTATTCATGGTTGGGTACCTGGGATTGGGCCGGTTGGGTTGTTAACAGGGAACGAAGGAAGGGAAAAGAAAAGGAAATCACAATCTCAGGCTTAAGGCTTGGAAATCCGGGAATGGAACATAGGAAGCTACTGTATCATTGGCGGTTCTATAACAACAACCATTCCAGAGTCAGTAAGGGATGTAAGGCTTTCTCATAAAGGGGAGGGAGCGGAATATTGTGGTGCTTGGGGTTTCCCAAAGAGTTCGAGCACTCACCATTTGGTTACTTGGGTTTTGTGATACTCAGAATGTTCTTAGTACCAGTAGCTGCTGTGGGGAAGCACACGATCAGTGAGTATGTGAGCTTCAGGCCGCGAACTGTGGGTTGCAAGGCAGATTCTAGGGGCTTTAGGAGAGACCCTTAATGGGGACCCTTGTAGCTTATTGGGGGCAATATGGGTACTACCTGGTTATATAGGGGGTATATAAGGCCTATATAAGGGTTCTATAAGGTAATGGGATTAGGGGTCCCTTCTAGGGGTCCCTCCTAACAACCCTTGACTAACCTCTAAACACACTAAACCCTACACCGCTTAGGCTTTCCAAGCTTGACGGCTTGTGGTTTCGAATTCAGGGTTCCAAATTCCCTTGGCTAACCTAAAACCATTTTGGTAGCTGTAAGCATGACTGCTATGATTAGCAAGAACTACTACCTCAATGCAGTTGAAACGCAGATCAAATCCAAATTGCCAAAGTCTGCGGCAGGCAATTACAAAAATGTTGGTACTGACACTGGAGAGATCCAAGCAACTGCAAACAAAACACAACGCGGTTGGCAAGCGTTTAAGTTTATGCTTCGCTTGTTTGCATACAGGATGTATACAGGGGTTTTGCGGAGCTTCTGCTGGGTGATAGAAGGAGATTGTGACGTTGTAGGAACTACAATGATCTGCGGGGTCGATCTTCAGGTCCTTTGGGAAAAGTATCTAGCGATATTGTTACTGTAAAGCTGGCAGGCAACATGTAGGGAACATTGTTACATAATGGCAAGTTTTGGAACCGGAATTCTGGTCAAGTATCATAGCTATCACAGTTGTATCGGGTAGCGCAAATTATTCTGCATGCAATGCTGACTATCACCATAGACACACCACGAATACGCCCATCATGTGGTCAAGCCCCCATAGCTACAGCCACTGCCTTGAAAAACGCACACTACGACATCCCCATGCAATCCCTTCATGACTGGCTCCAGAGTAACCTAGGAATAAAAAGAGTCCCTTTTCCAGTACGAACCTGTTGTTGTAAGAAACCTACGGTGGACACTAACAATTCTGCATGACCCTAAGTACCATATACCTTGGGAATTATAGTACTATAGTATATCAGGGTCATGCAGGATTTTTAGTATCAACCGTAGGGCCTCCAAAAGGGGGATACCTGGCCTACTGCAGATCTCACGCCACCTTGGAAAAAAGAGTGTTGGCTTGCACAAAGCCGAACGCCTCCTCATAGACCGTGGGTGTTAGCGATTTGGCCTGCCGTAGCTGGTGCAATCCAACTTCTACTGTCCTTATTTGGGCTGCGGAGTTTGGAGCCAAAAGGATTTAGGGTTGAGCCACATCTTTGCGGCAGCTGAGGGAAAGAGGGCCAGAATGGAGGTTCAAAAGCAATCCTGCGTTCGGGTTTCCATACTAAGCAGGCTTCCATTTCGAGAAACAATGCGCTTCCCTAAGGCTTCATCCTGGCGTCCGTTCGCTACTAGCAGTCAGTACGCTTGTTGATTGGAGAACGTGCTCTGTTTTTCTTTAACCTGGAGCACCCACCACCTAACCCAAAACCCTAGACCCTACACCTTAAACCGCAAATCCTAAGCCCTAAACCCATAAACCCTAAACCATAACCCCCTTCTCTGGCAGTATAATCCCAGTTTCCATTTCATTTTGATTTTTTTTCCATTTGATTCTCCATTATAGTAGGTACCCCTAATTTTGGACCCTAAACCCCAAACCCATTCTAGTAGTTTACATTTTCCTTTCCATGATCCCCATATATCCCTCATATAAGCCCAACATATCCGTATATAATGTAGTGTTTACATTTTGTTTTCCATCATCCCCATATAATCCCAAAATAGCCCTAATATAGCCCCAATGGGTACCCTAAACCCTCGGCTGAAACCCTAAACAACCCTAAATCCTAAACCCCAAGCCTTAAATCCTAAATCCTAAACCCATAACACCCATGAGTACCCAAGCCTCTCGGAGTGATGGTTCGTAGTCCCTAACAGTGATGCGCCACACGTGGACATCCTGCGTCTCGCTGGTGCTTTAAGGGGGAGTGGGGAGGACATGGTTTAGTGGTATAGGATGTATAGGGTTTAGGGTTTTAGGGTTTTGGGTTATAGGATTTAGGGTTTAGGGTTATGGAGTTCAGGGTTTAGGGTTATAGGACTTATGATTTTGTGTAATAGGGTTTAGGGTTATAGGGCGCGTTCTAGGCTGAAGCATAGGCGTTATATGAGCCATAGTCTAAACTCCTTTAAAGGGGTATATATAGGGGAGTACTATAGGGGTTATTAAGGGGGATACTAGGAGTTTAGACAATGGTTCATATGAAGGTTATTTTAGGGATGCACCTCCCACTCCATCACCTTGGGGCACCGGCAACATCCTTGTTGCTTGAGGTTTTCTGGTTCCTGATTGGGACATGAAAAGCAATTGTGCTTCTATATTCCTCCCGGGTTTCAGCTTATCCCTAAACCCTACAAAGTGCAGAATTGGGACTTAGAGGGCCCAGCTTGCGGTTGAGAATTCAGAGCTCAGAGGTTTCGGGCACAGGGATTCGGGAAGTAGGGTTTAAAGTGAGGGGCTCTGCATGTAAACAGAAACTCTAACCCCAAACTCCAGCCCTGGATAGGTAGTCAGCTAAAAAGGAACACATGCAAAACTGGACGACACTACACAGGGCACAACCGGTTAGGCTGAACCTTGGATGTATACACTACTATTCGATAACATACCATGATATACTATATTCTTTCTACCATTAACTGTGCTTCGCGGATGGGAGACGCACGACCCCAAGGAACCCTGCGTCCACCCAAGTTCCCCTTTTTAGTTTAGGATTTAGGGTTTAGGGACTCCTATTCAGCCAGGGTATCTTTAGAAGTAGGCATCCCAATCAACATAGCCCTGTTTTATAGGATCCCACCCCCAAAAAAAGCGCAGATTTTTGGAAACACGCCCCAACCTGAAAGCTTAGCAGCAGAAATAGTTCAGATGCTTCCTAGAAACCCAGACCCCTGGAAGGATCTAGAAAATAGACCCTCATATAGGGTACCCTATACTACGATTTGATGATTCCTAGGAACCCTTGAACGGGAGCTACTTTCTAGATCCTCCCAGGAGTCTGAGTAACAGGTACCACCGATGCCCAGAGTTCTGATCAGAGAGAAATAGAGAGGGACATTCAAGTCCCAATCCTAGGGATCCGGTTCACGGTTTAATGTTTAGGGCCAAACGAGCCATAGTCTAAACTCGCAGTATGCCCCTTCATAGGCCCCAGAATACTCCCCTATATGATAACCTATATGACCCCTCTTAAGGAATTTCGACTGTGGCTCAGACGTCCCAAAGTGTTCATGTCAAAAGACTTTACGGTCCAACATTGGTGTTACGTCCAGACTTGGAGCCCCATGGGAAAGAAACAGACAAACTTTGAACACTAAAGATTAAAGACCTTTGTAGCGCGTAAACAGTTCGAGGGCGTTGTGAGAGCAAGCGCAAGAGGAGGGAAGACAGATACAGCGGCATGGACGGAGGGACAGACAGACATCCCAGACAGGGACAATAATTTAAGCTATAGTCTAAACTCCTAGAATCCCCCTTTATAACCTCTATAGTAGTCCCCTGTATAATCCCTTATATAGTCCTCTTTAAGGAGTTTAGCGAGGGGCTCATTTCATCCTTGATGCATACTAGACACGGACTTCCTTGGCAAAGTAACGGGCTGTTTCACCGAGCCATCACACGTGATGTTACCAAAGCAAAGCCGGGAAAAAAAACGTCAAAGCTTATTTAGGGTTGAGGGTTTAGGGCGTGGTGGTGCTGGTGTTTGGTAAGGAGAGCTCCTGAAAATCTAGATTTTTCAGGAGTATTATGCCTACCATGATGGTAACTCGATCCTTCTCTATGTAACTTATCCAACAAATTGTCTCCCTTTCTATAGCTCCGACTATAGGGAACCCACAACAAGCGACCCGCACATTCGCAGAAACCGAGCTCTCATGTAGATAATGCATCTAGCTTCTAAGCCCTGTGCATCCTAAATTGCAAGCCGGTCAAATCTTTTCCGCCTGCCAAAACTCCAAGTCACAGCTAAGCAGGAGATGTCATGGGGATGGGGCTTTGCTTGCTTATGGAACTGGCCTAAATAACTTTTCCGAGAATGGGTCCCTTTTGCAAGCGGAACCCAACTATACGGACCCATCTTATAGTGGATTTAGGGAAAACCCCTTTAAGAAGGCGTCTATCTGAACACAAGGCTTTGGGGCTTAGGGTTTCTGAAGGTTGGAAGTATGGGACTGCGACGTATGCCCTTGGCCTGGGATGCCAGGGGCCCCTTTGAGCATCAATAACCCTAAACTAAACCCTAAATCGGACATCCTAAACATAACCCCAAACCGCACGGGTGTAAACTACCTGAACCCCAAGGCAAATGAATGGCCCTAAGCCTTTAAACATAACGAAAAGGCTTTTATCCTGCATATTTTGGAGGGGCTCGGGATCAAGACGCCGCACCCTAAGCCCTAGACCTTAAACCGTAAGGGCCCGTGCTGAGGGCCCATAGGTATAACCTTCGAAATTGAGACTTTAGCTGCCAGCAGTTGGGGAGTTCCTTGCTTAAGCCCTTGAACGCCAACACCCCGACATTCTTGAGTTACATCTGAGTAGATAGAGGCTAGACACTCCCTAAACCCTAAACCCT